AGACTGGCAGTTATAAGAGGAAAGAGACAAAAAAAATCAATTTTTCCAAAATTTTTTAATAGCAAATCTTAAAATTTTGTCTTTAAAAATTTTTAGAGCAAACATAATGTTTGTAGGTCTATCTCATCATGACATTTTAAAATCAAACTAAAACCTACCACATTTTAAAATGTTTCTCCTTAAAATTTTAGCAAAATTCTTTTATATTCTATCTTATTGCACAACTTGAGCTGCTCAAAAATTTGTGATTTATCCGAATAATAGTTAAAATTTAAATTTTCGTTATTTTATCCAATACTAAATTAGAAATTTTAATTTTATTCTCAGAGGCAAGTTTACATTAGAAAATTTGCAATGAATATGAAGAGGAAAAACAGAAGGAAAAGCAATACTTTAGAAGTGTCGTCTCCTTAAAAATAGACTTACATTTTTATTACGATATTCACTAAAAAACAGCAGCCAGGTCAGTATTTTTGTCAGTCGTGGTTTCAGTATATGATTTTTAATGGAATTAAAAATTAATTAGTTCTATGCAATTAGGCTTACATACAAACGTAATATACCTAAATTGATCTGAATTGAAAAATTGAAAGGTGATATTTGAAATTTTTATTTATTTTTCGTTTTTTTGAGCAATAATGGTATCAATAGTTGGAATTTAAACTTATAAATGAACAACTAACACTACATGATCCCTTTAACCAGATTTTTTGCATTACTTTTAACCCAAATGTTGCAATATTTGATTCGCAATAAAATTGAAATTAAGCAATTTTTAAAATAAACCATCTAATGTTGCATAATATTTATTAATTTCGGTTTAAACAAATTTGTTTTTAGATATTTTGTCAATTTTGAAAACAAAACTGTTGAGTTTATGTTATGCTCTTATACAATTTGATTTTGATTAAAATCCTTTATCCTATTTTTATTAATTTGACCTTATTTTGTTATAAGATTAAATTGTAATAATGCACGTAAAATATTTGTGTTTTCTTGATTTTCCATTCATATTTTCATTACTCTTACAATAATAACCAATCAATTTTTCTAAAGGTTATAAACTCTTTGATTGTTGAGATTTATAAACAGGTTAAAAATGACTATACATACTTCGCCTATTTGATTCTTATTCTGTTCGGAAATTTAAATATTTTCTTAGTGATTTTTCAAATATTTATTTTAATAGAATTATTAACATTTTTATGTAAATCTCTAAATTACACTTCTTATTATTATTATCTTAAGATCACTTAATTTATTTCGTATTGGTTTTTTTTTTCATTATGTTTAATTTATATGCAGTCTATTAATATTAAAATTTTTGTAATAAATTATGTATGATAATTGTATATAGAATACACCTTAAAAAAAAAAATCAACTATTGAAAAATAAATGCCAGCAGCGTGTTAAAATATTCGGCAATAAAATTAACATATGTATGTATTTTTTTTTTGAGCATTAGTGAGCATTAACATTAAGTTTTCTTTTACAATATTCAACAAAAAAAAAAACATAAATTGGAATTAACATTTTTAATTCTTACATTTAAACAGAAATATGTAACACATATAATTCGTATAGAATATACAAAATCTACTAAAATGAATTCTAGTAATAATCACCATAACAAAATTAAAAAAAAAATAATATGGGAACATGCATTTTAAAGGCTTTTTTATGTTAAATAGCAGTTTTTATGGTTTAATTATGACAATAAGATGTGATTTTTAATGAAACAAAAAATCAAAAAAAAATTCAAAAAATGTTCAAAAAATATTCATAACTATTCAAAAGATATTCGAAATAGCATGTAGAGAAAAGTTATAATCGGAAAGATAAGGGTCTATACTTTGTAATATGCGAACTTTTCAATTAATCACGAATTACGACTTTAAAAACACAATCATGGGAATCTTATATATATGCATTTGAACATATAGATGCTATACATGTGGCATGGCAAGTTGGACATTATTCATTTGACGTTCTGTTTATGTTTATGTATTAAAAGCCTATTTTGATAAAGCCAGAAATAATAGTTTTACGCAGAAATAACATCTATAGCTTGAATTTTCAGACTTGTATATGAGCTATATTAGGTCTTTTAGAGAATGAATATTCAGAAATATTGATTTTTACCGATTGCATAACACAATGCAAATATGGGTTAATGGGAAATGTTAAAAAATTTTAGATATGTATTCTCATATCTAGGTTTCGACTGAAGCGATTTTCGTTAAAAAACACCGTTATTAATATAAGGATATGAAAAACTTGCCAAATTTTCACTTATGACGGATTGAGTTAGTTCTTGCCAAATTATATAGTCAATTTGTGACATATCTGCATATTTCAGATAATGGTTAACAATTCTTTTTCAAATTAGCTTAAAAAATTGTATTAGTTTAAAAAATTTTATAGAAAAATTGGATTTCAAACATTTTACTTGTACATTAAAAAGCAATTTACATTTTTGTGGGTACATTAATTAAAAGTTTTTAATGTTCTTGAAATTACTACAGACGATAGTAGAAATGTTGTAAATTCCATATAGGAAATAGTTAAATCGATCGGTTATTTGCCCTCGCATTCTACTGATTTCGCTGATTGATTCTGTTACAGTTAATAAAAACTTTTTTTGCTTGTCCTTTGTGCTTTGCATTTTCTTTAATGTATGTATAACGATTTTATTTTCTGTGCTTTGAAAATAAAATCGTTATACATTCTTGTTACACAATATTGAAGAACAAGTTATAAGTGATTAAACAAATTTTAAACAAGTAAAAACGTTTCATTCGGTATAAACCGATTGAATTATACCCTGCACCTTTCGTTATTGTGTAGCAATTACTCGAACCTGTGAAATTTTTCTACAGAAACTTCACAGACATGTCTGACCTATAATTGGACATCCGACTGCCAAGTTTCATGAATCTGACTTTATAATTTTTCCAAATATTTAAAATTAGCTTTTGGAGTTGTATGGCAAGTACCTGAACCTGTCAAGCAATTCCATCAAAACTTCACAAATATATCTGATCTATAATCGGGCACACAACTGCCAAGTTTCATGAATCTGACTTTATTATTTTTCCAAATATTAAGAAATTTTAAATATTAAACTTTTAGACTTGTATGGGACCTACTCGAACCTGTCAAGCAATTCCACCAAAACTTAAGAAATATGTCTGACCTATAATTGGACACACGACTGCCAAGTCCCATGAATTTGACTTTATTTTTCCAAATATTTAAAATAAGCTTTTAGACTTGTATGGGAGCTACTCGAACCTGTCAAGCAATTCCACCAAAACTTAAGAAGTATGTCTGACCTATAATTGGACACACGACTGCCAAGTCCCATGAATTTGACTTTATTATTTTTCCAAATATTTAAAATAAGCTTTTAGACTTGTATGCGAGCTACTCGAACCTGTCAAGCAATTCCACCAAAACTTCAGAAATATATCTGACGTATAACTCGACACACAACTGCCATGTTTCATGAATCTGACTTTATTATTTTTCGAAATATTTAAAATTAGCTTCCGGAGTTGTATGACAGGTACCCGAACCTGTCAAGCAATTCCTGTAAGACTTCAGAAATATATTTAACCTATAATTGGACACATGACTGCCAAGTTGCATGAATCTGACTTCATTATTTTGCCGAATATAAAAAATTTGCTGTTGGAGTTGTATGGCAGCCACCCGAACCGGTGCAGCTATCCCATTATAATTTTTAGAGCATATGTAGAATATAATTGGACACATGTATACAAAATTTTATATTTATAGCTTTATTAGTTTTTGAAATATTTAAAATAAACTCTTTGAGTTGTATGGCAGCTACCCGAACCCGTTGTCCGAATTAGTCCAATAACAATAGGGTTCGTCCTTGGCACAAAAGAAAAAACTTGTGAAAGTTTGGTGTCGGTTGCATTATTCGTTTTTGAGTTATCGTGCGATCGGACGGACGGACGGAAGGACGGACATGTCTAAATCGACGCAAAATTTTACGTTGAGCAAGAATATATATATATGTCCATACCGCAGATGACTCCTTCAAGTAGTTACAAACTCCATACCAAAGTTAATATACCCTTCACGAAGTGCAGGGTATAAAAATACGTTTTCACTACTAAGTTTGAAGTGAAAAGTTTTATGCTCTTAAAAACAATCTAATAATCACATTGTTAAAATTGCTTTCATTCATACACCAAAATATTTAAAAGGTCGCATACATTTAGGATGAAGAAAAAAAATTGAAAGAGAGTCGTAAACATATGAAAGAGAGTTCGCAGGACATATCCTGTTAGTTTTCTAAATTTATACAAATTTTAATAACGGTACAGTAAATTCAATTCAACAAATTATATTCACCATTTTTATATTTATAAAATAATAAAACATTAATTTTTATGTAATAGGTTTCTTTATGCATTAATAAAGAAAGCTATGACTACCATTTTCGTCTGATTAAATTACTTTTTAAGGTTTTCTGCATGACTAAAAATATTTTACAGAAGTTAAGCACCCCACCACAATTATTTAAAATCTATGTATGAATTTATATTTTTCACATGTTTATGTATCTGTATTTTAATTCATGCAGTGGTGAAATGAATATGAAAAAAAAAAGTACTCATATTTCAGACTCAAAATTCAAAACTCTGCTTGAATGTTGCATTCCTATACACTTATATTTGTTAACTTGTGTTTACTTGCTTTGTGTATGTACTTATCATTAGCAACACATTATCCCAATTACACTCATATTTTAAACAAATATACATATTGTATGGCATGTATGTATGTATGTCAACACTCAACACTCAATGTATCATGTAGATGTAGGTATAGCATATATATATGTTTATGTACATGCGTATATTTTTATTTTATGAGAGGTTTTTTCTCAAAATAAGGATACGTCAAAAAGGATATTTAGTTGAAAACTTAATCAGTACGATCTCAGCTGCCTTTTTGCATTGTGTGGATAGCATATTCATTTGTAAGTAATTATTTGCGTGTATGGACATCTACATAAATCTACATAATATATGTACATATATACATATATGCACATACTTATATAAACGAATCCATATGTACATATGAGTTTTAATAAGATATGTATAAATATTTAGAAATTTGCAAATCCAACTAGGAATTGAAATTTTAAAGGAAATTTTCTCAGATCGGATAAATTAAATATTTTTTGAGGTTTACTGCGGTGTTGCGTTTATCCTTCAAATTATTTGAAGGATAATTCCCTTTTTTAGTTTAGATCTGTGCAAAAACGATAGCAACGCGAGTCTAATAAAAAATAAATCCTGGCCATTTATAACTTTATTTTTTGAAATTATTTCATATACATACATACGTTGTTATACAACACATGCCTTACACACATTTGTTTTCTGCTTTTATACTTAAACAACCATTTTTCAATTTGACTGGATGTAAGAACTATTCATGAACCAGTAAAAGTAAAATTTCGCAAATTTTCGGAAAAGTAAAAAAAATAACTAACTATGTGAGAACATATGGAATACTCATGCATACATTATATAGTTCATACATAATATTATCGTATACGTACATACAAACATATTATACATATATGTTTGTACATATGCAAATACCTACATAAATATTTTAATTGTATTAGAATAAATAGGGAATACTCATGTTATTGCATGACTAAAAAATTTATGAATAGACAAGATGAGACAAGTCTGACATTGAATGATTTTACGAAACATGAATATTATGTACAGTATAAATGTTTATAAACAGATATATTTACAAAAAGCTTGCGTACAATACAAAAAACACAAAATTCTGAAGATGACTTTGATAGACTACATATACATACAAATTTAGAAATTTATTAGAATCGAAAACAACACAAGTACAAACTAAATATAAAAGTAGAAAACATACAAATACCACGCGTAGCGTAAATTTTTTGTTTTGTAGCCACTGATATTTTTATACTAGTATTTAAAGAGAGTGAAAAAGAAAATTACATGATGTTGCCAGATGGTTTAATGTAAAATACCATAATTTAATTCATATAATTTAATTAGAAAAGGAAAGATATGGTACAAACTGGAAAATTTCCCGTACGAAATGCAAATTTACTTTAGTATTATGTAAAATTCATGTTGCATACACTGACACGCCCCAATAATTGTACACCTACACTTAATTTTATTCCCATACTGCGTATCAAACATTATACATACTTTTCGTATAATTTTTTTTCAAAATACAATTTTGATAATTTTTGAATAAAGAAAGTTTCGCGATAGACTTTAATTTCAACATATTATTGAGCGTCTTCAATATTTGCCTGTTGGTAACGTTGACATAGTATATAAGTATTGACTGTACACGTGGGTTGTAGATTTTTTCTATTTTGTTTTTCTTTTGTTTTATGTTATTTTATAGTAAAATATTATTACCTATACGATTTTCGTTTATATTTTGGTATTCAGCAAGATTTTATTTTTAGTTTACAGAAAACCTTTAACAAAAAAGCTGAAAACTCTCTTCAATCTGTTTAAAAATAAGTAGAATGTAAATAACATTTAACAAAATAAAAATTAATTTCTTTGCAAAAAAAAAAGAAAAACAGATGGCACTAATAATAGATTTACAAGGTTTTCGTGGCTCGGAAAATGAATTTATTCCTAAGGAAATTGCAATTTTAGAAGAAAATGAAGTCAGTAGCGCAATGGGCGATGATATTAATAACAATGCTGCAACAAAATTTATCATAAAAGCGCCATACGACTTAAAGGAACTACCACGCGATATTCGAAGACAAAATTTATGGCTAAGTAAGCATTTTCATGGTATATCATGGGATCGTGGTACAACTGAATTGAGTAATATTAATGAGTATTTAGAAGAAAAACTCAAATCGCGAGTTGTTTTTTGTAAAGGGAAAGAAAAATTTAATTGGATTATAAGAAGTATGCCAGAGCGTTCGTTTTTCTTATTGGATTTAGAAAATTATGGGTGTCCAAGCATAAAAGTTTTAAGAAAACAATATGGAGAACTAACAAGATGTGACGACCATAAGGGAGTATGTTCCGTTGAAAATGTACATTTGTTTGCAGATTTCATAAGAGAGAAAATAAGAAAAAATGTTAAATAAAAATAAATACATACTTTACATACACAAAGTAATTCGAATTGTTTATTTGTTATTATTATGTACTATTCGTACCATTAACGTGCTATTAACAGTTTTGTTAGACACTTTCATATTGGTAGACGAAGTGTCGCCTTATATATTGTTGTATACAGAAATTTCGATGAAGCATTCAATTTGATATTGTTTAACATAAACTACATTTGTTGGAATTCTTTTGTTATTTTCTGCTTAAATTGTAAAAAAGTTGGTAAGTTTTATTATAAATTGTCAAACTTTGAATCATATGCGAATGTCAAAACGTACGATTTTGACAATTTAAATTTTAAACTCGTTATGTAATGTAGAGCATTTAATAACAAAGTTTAAAGGCTCGTTAAAGACGATTTTGATACTGGTAAGTTTAGAATTTAGAAGCAAGGGTTCTTTAGAAGAAGAGGTACTGTAAAATAAAAAATTTAAATCTACAAAGAGTTTATTCTACATTCTAATACAGGGATCTATGTATATGCACATACATACGTACGTGTATGTATGTGTAGCTAAAATTGTTAACATTTTAAATTGTAACAAATTCAGAACAGAAATCGTACAAATACCAAAGATTATTAAAAAGCTTTCATTTTTCAGAATACTTTAATTGCAATAAAAAATCACACTCAAACTCATCCTTGCTGTTTTTTAACAAGTATATTTTCTTGAGTAATAAAGTGTGTTGCTATGTTTTCACGAGTTAGCATTTTATTTCACGAGTTTGTTGACGGCATACTTATGAAAGCGGTGCTATAATTGTACAGCTTTCTTACCGAATCAAGCATTCGAAGTTAGGTTTGTTCGTTTTTTTTTTTATTAAAAAAATAAATACAAGAAATATAGGGTATAGATAAGAAATGCCATTGAAGCAAGAGACACATTTCATACAATTCTTTTCATGAATTCAATTAATGAGTATTCAAGAAGAAATTGAATACATACCTGATCCGCTAACGATATAGAACAAATTGTACAAAATAAACAAAATCTACATTGGAAATATAGATTATTTATATATGTATATTGTTTATATGTATACTGTTATACATTCCAATAACGAGTAACACTTAAAATAAAAGAAGCTTTTTATACCGTTGTTATTTCAGAATATGAAAATTGTCGATATTTGTACATAATATGATGTAGCAGCAACTATGGTATATGTGTATAATGTTGTTTTTTTTCAAAAGCTTTTACGATCATAAAGTTTTGAAATACATACCTGGTGTATTTGAAGAACCAAACGACTTAGAATACTTAGAAAACTATTCCCCTAATATGAAATCAAATTTTCTAGTTGATTATAAATGTGACCTAATTTTATATACTCGTACTGCTCATTTTATTATACATTATTGGTCATGTATTCGAGTAAATTAGTGTTATTCTGCAATTTATACAAATTTTTAATTGAATATTTTTGTACAAAAACAAAAAAGTTTCCGGTATTGTACATGGCGATTTATTATTTTGAATCTCAACACGATGAATGAACACGATATTTGTTAATCGAAGTGATTTTCCCGCAACAGATGATTTTTTATGTACATATATTATTTTGAAAAACCAAGTTCCCCAATAATATACATACATATGTACATATATGATATCGGAACCAATTAACAATGGATATTAAATTATTAATAGGATAGAAATATACATGTATGAATGTCTATTCTAATTGATTCGAATTATTTTATATTGCAAGTTGTACACATTTACCTATTTACCTACATATATAGATAGCTGCAAAGCTTTTAAAGATTACAGATCATTAAACTTTATATACAAGTAGTTAGGTTCATTCTAGCTTACTTTTAATAAAATTTAATTTTGTTGATAATAGCTGTTATCAATAACTTGTATGTTCATATTGATAATGCATAAGGTGACATAATGTATGTGTATATAGAAGAGCATTTATAATACCTGTTCGAGCTGGTTTTGTAGGATGCTGTTGAGTTAGTTAAAAGTGATAATTAAGTAATAACATGGTCACCTCTATATCTAAATGTACAATTTTTCATTATGAATATTCATTCAATAGTAATGAGATTTATAAAGTAAATTCAAAAATTCAATACAAATTTTGTATCACTGTTGTTATTGTTATTAGACAGTAATATGTTATATTAGTGTACTTATACTTGGCGTATGTGTTCAACTTTAACAAATCCTAACCTTTAATTTTTTGAATGATGAATAATTACATGAATTCAAGCATATTATGAATATTATATTTTGTATAGATAATAATATATCTATTCGAGTTATTGTGTACTAATATAATAAAGCTGATGTATTGCGATTTTTATGTACATATGTACTTACATTCATACTCCCAAAATTCCTAAAAATTATACGGCTCCTTAAAATAAACAATAGAAATTATGGAAAACGATTCTTTTTCAATCTTTCATTCAATTTCTTTTAATTTTTATATTTTCATCTTTAAGAAATTTTAATTTTTCATTGCCTTTGTCTATTACTTTTGTCTATTCTTTACATTGAATTCATACTTATAGCACAAAATTTGTTACTTTCACTGTGGATTGAATGAAAATTGACATTATAAATACGCTAGATACGATAAAATAATTTTCGGATTAATGTTAAATAAAAAAAAAAATTTTTTTCTTAGACAAAATAAACAATAGACAAAATAATAGTTAATAATAGTAGTGTTGTACATTTGCGATAACAGCACCTCTGCTGTCAAAAGCAAGAAAAATAAACGAAAATAATATGAAAATATTAGGTCAGGTCGTCTAATTTCCGATTATCTTTTATAGCGCAGCTTTTTTTTTGATTTATTCATTGTTTAGTTGCTAGCTTTAATTTTAGTGTGTGACATATGCTGGTTTTCTTGGGGTTATTTTTGTATGTTTAGTTTTAAATTTTTGGGTTTTTAGTTAGATTTGCTTTGACCTTTTGTTAAAAGAAATGTTTTTGTTTCTTTTTTTGTTGTATTATTTTGTTAAAAAGAGAAAAAAGAAATTAATAAAATCTTAATAACGGATTTTATATTGTAAGAAATTATCGTTATTTCTTATTTTTCTACAAGTATGTAAAATGAGTGTTAATAACAGTATCTAAATTCAAATTGAAAATATTGTGTTTTGAATAATATTTATGTAAAATTTAACAAAACAAAATAGATTTTATTTGATGTTCAAACCGAGAAGGAAAACTTTTGATAAGTGTTGAGTAAATCAATCTAAGCTCGGAATAATATGCAAGTACTAAAAGTTTTTTTTATTCCACTCAATTTGTATATAAAACTGAATTATATGAATATAGAACTGAATTTATGCAAAGTGACCGAGAGTGTCATTAATAAATAATGAATACATTCCATATATGCACAAGTTTTCATATACCACAATTTTTTAGCAGTCGCCTATTAGAAACTAACACTATTTTTTAACTACTTCAATTCCAGATTTTGGTAAAAAGTTGCTCTGTAAAAAAGTTTAATTGATTGCTGAAATTTTTTATTGTTGCATGGAATTTTCTGGTATGGTGCGATTAGTTTTATTTCATAGTTGCAGTAACAAATGAAAATCACAACAAATATGAAAATAGCGAACTATAATGCTTTTTAGCTTGCCCCCCAGAAAAAGGTAAAGAGAAAGCTTCTGCGGTTGTGTACAGTCTTTACTTTGCTAGTTTCGAAAGGGTTAATTAAGGAAATTTTTAATATAAACCACTATAAATAACATTTTTATATATATGTGTGTATTGAAATTTTATTTGTAAAATATAAATAAATTTAAAGTATAAAAAATTTAATCTGTCGTAAGAAGATAAGAGTTCTTTAATTTTTTCTTATTGAGTTAATTCCTTTCTTACTTTTCTGAATTTCGTTCAAACTCTTTACTTATTTCAATTAAGAGGAATGTGTATGTAGTCTCAAAATTCTTAACTTTATTTACAACATTATGAATACTCGTATATATACATATATGTAATAAATTTTTCTTTAAATTACTTTATAAATTAGATTATGTACTTTAATTAATAACATTACAAATTCTAATTGTAATAGAAGCAAAAAAAAGAGGGAAAATCTTTTTTATGAGAACCCTTCATAAATATTAATATTCTTTAAAGAAATTAAAAATTCATTATGTTATTAAACATTTGTGTGTGTGTGTCTTGTTAAAAAAAATTTTAAATTTGTTATAATGAAATTAAATACGAGAATTGTTGTAAATGATCGTGAGAATAGAAAAAAAAATTTTTAGGTGATCTCATTTTAACATAATGAGAAGTTTTTTCCCTTTCAAAGGTGCTTTCATTCAAATTACATACTATTGCGGTGATTTCAAATATTAAGTTTAAAGGTAGGTAGAAAAGGGAGAGTAACATACTTAAATACATGCGCATAAACATTTTTAATTAAAAAATTCATAAAAATAATTGTAGAACAACTAGATACAATGTTTTTTCTTATATGATTCTTTGTTATGATAGAATTTGGATTTTCATATGAGAATTTCATATGAAAACGATATCTGGAAGAATGTGATTTTTCAATTTCAAAATTTCACTTTTTACCGACCGCATTGCATACAATAAGAAAGGTTATGTGATAGCAACAAATTTTGGATGTCGAGTTTTCGGTGGGAACGGACTTTCTTCCCACCATGCGAATGTGTAAATAATAAACTTTTTTGAAGAGATGTCGATTTGTCGGGCTGTGTGTGCACGCATCTCAAGTTTGACTGAACTAATTTTTACGAAATTTTTTATATGAGTTTTTTTTTGGCTATGTCGCGATTTTATTAACTTTTTGGATATACTATAATCAGGTCTCAGGAGCTGGACCTTTTTCCGGGCCGAATTTACATTTTTTAGGAAAATAATGAACAAATTTACTTGAAATTTAATATTTAAATTCAGGGAGTTAAAGCAAGGAATTTATAAATTTTTGGAAAGATTTATAAATTCTCCGGACTCTGAAACCAAACTTTTCATTTTAGAT